ACCTTGGAAAATCGCAGTGCGTTATCACAAATACTTCTTTTCCCATGCATACATTCACTTCAATAACTGATCAAATTATGTCAAAGAAAACCACGTAGGCATACAAATTCGCTACAATCTTATTTTAAACAATCACCTCGGCATGGATGAACAGAGATAAAAGATATTTAGGCATCCACGTAAAATGCCGAAAACCGAACCAATCCACAACTAGGTGGGATCTGAGGTTCTCACGGAGGCGATTACGAAGATGGTTGTCTTCTGAGTTGTAGCGTCGTATATTGTGATAATTTGACGACGCTCCAGAAGTGCCAGAAGACAACGATTTCAAATCCACAACTACACTCACGATCATTAAACTGCCAGTGAGCTGGGCCGTTCATTGACACTTGTCCATTAAACAGTATTGCCAACGGATGTAATTGGTTTCGTGTTCCAGTTGAGATAATATTCTATCACCAGTCCCAGCAATCTGTCAACATGGCAATTATATTTCATTCCTCAGTCCAGACTTTATCCAACTAACTAACCAGCTGGCTTATCGAAACCGAAGGTCCATCACCGAATTAACCAAAGCCCTCCACCGGACCCTGTCTCCTTCAACTCCTATCTCCCATAGATCCCGCCTGAGATTATCCTCCCATCTACGTCTAGGTCTCCCCAGCGGTCTCTTCCCCTCAGGCTTCCCAACCAATACCCGGTGCACACCTCTTGTCCCATCCATGCGCGCTACATTCCCCGTCCATCTTATTCTTCTCGACTGACAATATTGGGGGAGGAGTACAACTTTTTAAGCTCGTCATTATGTAGTTTTCTCGCACCGGTGAGATCTTTACTTAACTCACAATGTCTTCGTTCCTTCTGAAAACTTTCAGTGCAAATTTTTTGGCCAATCTCACGAACTTAATTTCAGAATTTGTCATTCTGAAACTGTCCTTGCCCTCTATTGCCCGGGTTTCACTACAATAAAAGAGAGGCAGGACACGTAATTTTCTAAACTGTTCTTGGTAGGGCAGCGAGAGCTTACAAAGTGCATCTTGATACAACGACCAATACCTTCAAATGTTGCTCAATATATCACGGGATTCACATGGATCTAAACATAGTTCGGACACTCGCATATTTTGTACTTCACCGGGTTCCCATTTCCATTTCAGTGCATCCTTTAAATACTAAATTCGATTTTAAAACAATCACACCTGCATTCGTCCGTATCTGAGTTGCTTAATAAGGGCGGATCGTAATAAATAAGGCAATATGCGCTTACGAGTTTTTGTGATCGAGTCGAGACACTCAAGAATTTGCTCCAACTCCATCAACGTTGACCTCATCATGTGCATGTGTTCGAGGAAGTCACTGGGGCGGTGAAGAAACCACGCGTAGCGTCTGCGCACATTAACCCTTTGAAGCCGAAGACCGTCAGAATATTATTTATGAATTCAGTCCGTACCGCGAAGAAAACACTACACCTCACCATTACGAAAATCAGCTGGTTAACCCTTTGAAGCCGAAGCTCGTCTTCATAATATTTACGAATCCAGACCGGAAAACACGAACTCAGTTTTGGCCCCAGAATCTCCAAAATCATAACAGCTCTTAAAAAACATAGAATTAAACAATTTACTAAAATGTGGTAAGTAAAAATTTAACAATGCTATACCAGCTACTAGATTTATAGTGTACTGATATGAACAATCAACAAGCTGGCTACTTTCATGTCAAAACAGCCCTGAAAGAAATCCATCTCTGTTCAGAAATTCGCTCATGTATCAAATACGAAGTACTTTTTTTCATACGGGATGCAGGACACGCGCGCGGGCATTTGATGACCTAAAAGAGAACCGAAATCAAAGTGGAAACTGCTAATGAGAAGTTGATAAAGTATAAATCCCCGGATATTGATCAGATTCCGGCAGAAATGATCGAAGCACGAGGCACACAAACTCATTCGCTCCATATGGAATACAGGCGTAAACATAGCAGCGGTGGAAGGAATCTATTATTGAACCAATTCATTACATGGGTGATAAGACTGACTGTAATCATTATCGAGGAATCTCCCTCTTATCATCTGCCTACAAAATTTTATCCAACATTCTTCTCAATATGACAGCGAAATTATTGGGGATCATTAATTTGGGTTACATCGTAATTGATGTGCAACTGATCAAATGTTTTGCATTCGCAAGGGGCTAGAGAAAAAATGGGACATCCCATCAACTTCAAGAAACCCTACGACTCAGTTAAAAGAGAAGGTATTCATGCTAATTAAAACGTGTACAAAATTCGATACATTTACTATTCACAATGGCCTGAAACAGGGAGAGGCTCTATCACCGCTGCTTAGAAAATGCCATCAGGGAAGCCCGCGAAAATCAGAGCGATTTTGGAATTGAATAGGACACATCGGCGTTTGGTCTGTGCTGATGATATTAATCTGTTGGGCGATAATATAAATAAAAGGACATCGTTCGAAAATGTGACAAAATTCAAGTACTTGGGGACGTCACTAACAAGAAAGAATGACATTCATGATTAAATCAAGAGCACATTAAATTCAGCAAATACTTTCTAACATTCAGGCTCATATAAAAAAAACTAAAGATTAAAATATACAAAAGTGTAATTTTCCCAGCTGTGCTGTATGGGTGCAAAACTTGGTCTCTCACTTTGGGGGAGGGGCGTAGACTGAGAGTCTTTGAGAACAGATTGTTGAGGGAGATATCTGGACCTAAAATGGAGAAAAATGCATAATGACGTACTCCTCACCTGATATTGTTAGGGCTATTAAATCGAGGATGAGATGGGCGAGACATGCGGCACGCATAGGGGAGGGGTGTTTACAAGGTACTGAAGGGAGGAGACCGCTGGGAAGACCTCGGAAGGCGCAGGTGGGAGGACAACGTTAAGATGGACCTTAGGGAGACAGGAATCGATGGAGCGAACAGGATGCAGCTAGCTCAGGATGGAGTACGGCGGCGAGCTTTTGTGAACTCGGTGATGAACTTTCGGGTTCCATAAAGAAAGAAGGCTATTCATTTACAACCGAACAAGAAGCCACTACTTATACAAGAGTACTTCAAAAGCAGAAAAAGAAATATTTGATATAAAGACAGGCCTACACATAGCTACTTTATGGCTCATTTACTTATCACGTTTCAGATACGTCTCTGATGTTACAACTCAAGACAAAGGGCGAAATCTTGGATGATCACAACGAATGACACATTTCATCCACCATAAACTCAGTCTTAAAATGTAATCGCTCTGAGCTTTATCGAGAAGGATAGACAAATTTACTTCGTCTCACACCCGTTTTGGAATGACATTAACTCTTCGATTTCCGGTTGTAGCGGGGAATTTTCTTAGCAAATCCGTCCAGAACAGCCTTGAATCAAAGCCACATATTTATCAAGTGATTTTTTTTTATCTTTGCACCAGAATAACACTACGTATCTGTGGAGACGAATCAATAAGGCCCCAGTGCCCATCCCGCTGATAACAAACGAATAAATACAGCGTGACTGGCATGAAGAAACCGAAAAACCTGTCCCAGAGGAACTTCGTCCACCACAAACATCAAATGACCTGGGAGCGAGCCCAGGCCTCCGCAATGAGAAGCTGGCCGCTAACCGCCTGAGCTACGGCGTAGCCCTATCAAGTGGGGGGGTCTTCTCGAAGGTTAAGGTTAAGAATGCATGGAGCTTTACCTCCGCTTCCTCATACGTCCTCATGGCGCGGTTATTAACTTTCCCTTTACATTTAATTTTACTTAATGATAAGTTAATTCATGATTAATTAAAACATACTACAAAACTGTACACATGCATGTCAGAAGTGTATATTAATTTCAATTGTAGAACATTTTAAAATGAGACAACGAAACAGCAAAGCAAAATCTCACTGGACCCATTCACCGACAACAGATATTAATCTCTTCCCTCATTTCATGAAGATGCGAATTAAAACAAACGTAATTGCCAGCCTCAGAGACGGAACTATGCCAACCACCGAAATAAACCAACAAAACTGAATGTTACTTTCATCACTGAGAATTCTATTCAACATAATCGCGACTGTTTTAATCATACAAATACGAGACAGTGGCAGGCTATTAATCTGATAAAGAGGCAATAGGAGTTCTCCTGGTCTAAGAGACTTTCGCTGTCATTGGCAATGAAAACTGTGTCACATGATTCAGTACAAGAAAAAGCTTTTCTTTAAATCTCGATAACTTCGGTGTACTGTTTCTAAAAGACGATAAACGCATTTCAAGGAAAGGGGCTCTACTGTCAACTGCTTCGTGCGGTATCAGGTTCATTCATCTTTACGAGTTTAATGTCCTACTTCTATCGACTTCAGAGAACAGCCTCGAAGTCTGCCTTTGTATACGTAACACTTATCGTCTTCCT